CCAGTTGTGGCGGAGAAGGCAAGGCGGCTCGCGGATTCTCTGAACCCGTTTCTGCAGCCTAGCCAGAGGCTAAGTCTCCCCACCTCCAGCACCTCCATGCTAGTGAAGACCTCTTTCCAGGCTCCATGCTTCCTTTGCTCCCAGGCACTCCCAGGTCCCTCCCAGTCCCTCTCCCCAATTCTTGTTCAAGTAGCTGCAGGCGGGGAAAAGGCCAAGCCCTAGATTAGGAGCAGGTCAACTTTAATTCGAGGGTCGAGCCCCTGTATTCCTGGCTGGGGGGAAAAACAAACACCCATATTTATCTCCGTTTCCAATTCGCCTCCAGGCTAAGGGATGGGGAGGAGGCGCAGAGTGCCGACTGGGCCAGAGGAACAGATCGGGTGTCCTGCCTTTTCCTCCTCTTTCAAGTCAAGCTCCGAGGAAAGGGGAGGGAGGGTGAAGGGCTGCTGGGGGGGGTGGGGGTGAGCGGGTCAAGAAGGTTGGACCTGCTTGGCGAAGACCGCGATGTCCTCGTTGAAGGAATCGGAGGAACAGACGTCTCCGCCGGCCACTCCGGGTTCCCGGGGAGTGCAGGTCGCCAGCTCGCACTTCTCAAAGACCAGTGCTAACAGAGGAAACAACGGGTGCCTAACGGGCAGCGCCACGCAGAGACACACGCACGAAGACGGGGTGCAGAGGGGAAGGAGCAAGAACTGTAATCAACAAGTTTGGAGGGTTTGCATTCTTTCTTTAATACAACAGGCACGCAACACACTACACCCTCAATCAGCCTAGCCTGGGCCACAAACAGAAAGGAAACAGCCTGGCCTTTTCCCTTGGTTCATAGGTCTTTTCAGATTAGTCCCCCCTCCCCCGGCCACTTTAGCCCATCAAGTAAACAAATTCTCCGGGTGTAATGAAATAACCAAAAGCTCAGGCAATTCGAACCTCGAAGTTGATCCAGATCCCACTATTCACTCCAGAGGTGCCAACCACCCAACCCTGACCTCCAGGACAGGGAGCACTATTTGATTTTTTTTTTCCTCTCCACAATTTGAATTGATCTAACGGGCATTTCAGACGAGGTCGAGGGTTTCACCTACATACACACCGGAGTGACATTTCCCAATTTTAAGACAGTGTTCTAATCTTATCACCCTTTGCTTTATAAACTTGTTCGCTTTGCTTGCAATAAATACCCCGGTGGTAGGACCAAAATATTAAGAATGTTCAACTCGAAAGAGCTGACTTCTAAAGACCACATTTCTCCCAGCGTTGCAGCGCACAAGAATAAATAAACCACGTTTCAAAACTTGGAAGTGTGCATGCCGGGCGCGTACGCCCTTTGTGTTCCTTCGGGAGGTTTAGCTACACCTCGGGATGCTTGAGGCCTCAGGCTTTAGGCTCAGTTGCTGTTTATCCACTGTCCCCTCCCCTCCGCATCCCGCCGCCTTCCCCACCTACCCTCAGCCGGAAGAGCCCGAGTAGTGCACGCTTGGACCCTGCTTGCCCACCCCTCTCCAAGCTTTCCGAATATAAAATAATTTGCAGCCATTTCCCTGACTCCCCCTAAGAACGGCTGTGTGCAAGCGGCAGTCTCTTCCACCCGGCTGCACTTCAAGGTCTGCCCCTTTATTTACAGAGAATTAAGAAGTGGGTGATTAGGACTTCCTGGCCGACAGAAGCTGCCCTGATTCCAGCTCAAGCTGCGTTTAGTGACTCCCAGGCCCTCAGTAGGAAGCAGAAAGAGGAGGGGAGGGGAGAAAAAGAAAGAAAGGAAGGGGGGAGGAAAGAAAAGGGAAACTGGAAGTTTCTCCTCGGCTGCAGAAAACTTTCCTCTTAGTCAAGGCCTCTGTAAGGCAGCCCAAGACAACCAGCCGCGCGTCTTTTGGCCAGGAATCTCGTCCTTGGGGAGAAGGCCCGGCCAGCAAGATTTGAGGACTTAGTCCTCAAACGGGACTGTGGGGTCTGGAGAGGCCGAACCAAGAGAGCAGAGAAGGTTCTGTTTTTCTGGTCTGTGACTCAGGGGCCGAAGGGCAGGCTCCCTCCTCTGTCTTTCCCTACTGCAAGCAGTCCTCCCATGCAGAATGAAGTCCCCACTTATCCGCCCTATGCACCCCACCACCACCACCACCAGAGACAAACACACGCACTCACGCACACTCACACACAGTAAGCTGGGTCCGGGGGTCGGTTTACCCGTAGATCGCGTCCTTGTCTCTTTTCAAGGCGTCATTGACAGCAGATCCCATGCTGGCTGGCATGACATTGGGGTGCGGGGCGTGCGCGCCGTAGTGCTGCGTGGCGTGGAGCGGCGGCCCGTGGTTTAGGTGGTGAACCGGGGGGATCGGCCGCGGCGCGTGAGGGTCTCCGTACATGGAAGCGGGAACCCCTACTCCGTCCATCCCGCCGTAATGGGGCAGCTCATCGTACTGTCAGAGCCCGGCAAGTGGGCGGCGGGGGGGGGGGGTGGCAGAAAGGGTGAGAGAGAACCCAGGAGGGCAGAGCAGGAAAGCAAAGAAACCCGGAGAATGGGATAGAGAAGAGAGGGGAGAGGGAGTAGGGAGGGGGGGACGGGGAAGGAGAGAGAGAGAGGGAGAGAGAGAGAGAGGGAGGGGGAAAGAGAGAGAGAGAGAGAGAGAGAGAGAGAGAGAGAGAGAGAGGAAAACAAAAATAAAAACAAAGTCAGAAAGAAAAAAGTGCTGGACACAAGTTGAACACACTACAAACCAAACCAGCAAAAACAACAGAGCCGAAAGTTGGGAGATGTCCGTAAATTTTAAAATGAAAAAAGTCTCAGCCGAAAGCAGCATTCAGAGAAGGGAGATCAGGGACACTGGGGGCACAGGGAGGCCCCGCTCCCACCGGAGGCTTCAGAACCCCAGCGAGCCAACCAAGGGAGAAGTGGAGTTAGCTAGAGGAGGAAGCCCCGGATCCCACCCCTAACCCCCCTTCGCCTCCTCCAAGAGATCCAATAAATCAAAGGGCGAAATGAAACAAAATAAAGAGAAGAAAAAGGCTAATAATCAGGCCGAGAACGCCAAGGACCAGGGAAGACTAGGACCGGTTCCTCCCCGGGGGCTGGGGGCAGAGGGTGGGGAGGAATAACGTGAAAGTTACCAGAAACATTATTTAGCAGCGGATTCCCTGCGTCCTTGTCAATTTCAGAGACAAAACAAGCAGCCCAGGCTAGTCTAGGCAGCACGGCCCCAGCGGCGGCCCCGGCGGCAGCGGCTCCTACGCAGCCCGCGCCCGCCCGAAGCCGCACGAGCAGCGGCGAAAGAGGCGCAGCGGCAGCGGCAGGAAAACCCGGGGAATCGCGCTGCCGGGGTAAAAGCTGGAGCGAGGCGAAAGCATGTAACAATTGCACACACGTACACACACATACACACACGTACACGCACACACACACACCTCTCACACGCACTCGCCGCCCGCCCGCTCGCACAGCGCTGGGACACGCGCGCCCAGACACGCACACACGCACGCACACACACACTCACACACGCAGAGGCACCGGGGGGAAAAGAAGCCGATGAATAATTTTGCTACTATTTTTTAAAATACTGGCCGCCATCATCAAGCAAGAGCAGCAGCAGCCAGCTTGAAGGGAGAGGAGGCATGGGGCAGGGCCCCTGTAGGAGAGGATTTATATCTAGGTAAGTGTTGGAGATTTAAACCTACCCTTTGCGCCATCAGTCTGCGCTCCAATAAACTCCTGGATGTGTCGTATATTTAATATCCCAGTCCGGATAAGAAAGTGAGCTAGGCTGAAGAGTCTTTTTTTTTTTTTTTCCAAACCAAGGAGACTTCTCCCAATTTTCCAATGTTATTTTTAGGGGGGTGGGGGAAGCCCAGTCAAGAAAACGAAGGTTTTTTTTTCAATGATATTTCTTCTTTTTCTTTTTTCCTCTTCTTCCTCCTCCTCCTGATCTTCCTCCACCTCCTCCTCCACCTCCTCCCCCTCCCCTCCTCCTCTTCGGTCCTCCTTTATCCCCTTTTCTCTTCTCTTTCTCTCAGTTGAAAAAAAAGAAAGAAAAGAAAAGAAAAAGAAGAAAAAAAATTGTCAAACCCCCAAACTGAAGGTTACGAGCGGCCAGTCAGCAGCCCACATGTAACCGAACTGTCGAGTTTCATGGCTTTTTGCCACTCCAGCTGTCAATCAAAGCCCGGAATGTCAAGGTAGTGAATGAATGATGGTTGATGATGATGAAGAGGAGCAATCTTTCAGACTCGTTTTTTTTTTTTCTTCCAGTAAAACTCCGCGAGGGGTTTCTTTTTCTTGAATTTTCCTCCCCCCTCCCCCTCTTTTATCTTTGCCCCCAAAAATAGCTCTAATATGATCCTCTCTCTTTAAAGTATTGTTCAAAGAAAGCAAAGAGAAAAACCAAGAAAAAATGAATAGTTTGCAAAAATTGGACTTCCTCCCCCCCTTTCTGGTAGATATTTGTCTCTCCCTCTCTCTCGCTCGCTCTCACTCGCGCTCTCTCTCTCTCGCGCTCTCTCTCTCTCGCGCTCTCTTTCTCTCTCTCTCTCCTCTCTCTCTTTCTCTCTCTCTCTCTTTCTCTCTCTGGGAGATGAGTGAGTGTCAGTAGGTGTTGGCAGGTTGGCTGCAGCCCGGCTTATAGTAGAGCCTCAGTTTGGCGGCGCGGGTCGGCGGCGGGAGAACGAAATGACGGAACCCGGAAGTCGTGGTGGCCATAGCCCGTCGTACGGCGGAGACACATCCCGGGAGTGGGGAGCTGGAGCGAGGAGGAGCGCGCAGCGCGGAGCCTCTGATATGCAGCGACTGCGGTCGGACGGCCCGAGAGGGGGGGGGGGTGCTGGGGGAGGGGAGGCTGGAGCCGTGAGGACCGGAGCAAATCAGCAAGCCTGCTTCTCCAAGGGGACGACTCGGGAGGGGGGAGGAAGAGGGGAGGGAGGGGGATAAGGGAGGGGGAAAGGGAGGGAGGATGGGAGAGAGAGAGAGAGAGAGAGAGAGAGAGAGAGAGAGAGAGAGAGAGAGAGAGAGAGAGAGAGAGACACGCGTGATTGGAGAAGGGGGAGGAAGAGAGATGTGGAAGAGGACAGGGAGAGCACAGACAGGAAAACTGCAGAAAGCCACAGGGAAAGTACGGTACAGCCTCAGATATTTTTATTTTAAACTTACTTCTAGTTTATTTCCCCACCACTCCTCTTGGCTCCTGCCTAACTGGGTCGCGTTGGGGATGTTTGGCATGGCGCTCTCGCTTTTGTTCGTTTTAATTCCTCGGCCCCCTTCCTCTGCCTGCGGATTACTAGATCCCGAAGTCTCCAGCTAACAAACTAGAGCAGCAAGCTCAGCCGAGTGTAGTACCACCGCCGGTCTAGATTTGTTGCTGTTGCCGTTGTTAAGTAGCACTTTCATACTTGTGCAGATGCAGAGCCTTGTTGTCAATATTCATTTTTTTCTAGTACAAGATGGGAGCAGCTTAACTCCGTGCATAGTCCCTCGGTGAGCTGCAGACAGTGGACCACCTCGGAGAGTCTAGGGGTCCTGGAAGGAGGAAGTGAGACGAGAGTTAGTGGGGCAGGAGTTAGCGGAGAGGGAGTTGTTTGGTGTTTGTTGTTTACCAATGTAGCCAAGCTGTGTGTGTGTGTGTGTGTGTGTGTGTGTGTGTGTGTACGCCGGCACAACCGCGCACGACCGGTGTGCGCCTACAAGTGAATCTTGGATCTGGGAAGCACGGGAGGAGAGAGATTAAAAAGCAACTGGAAGAGAAGATACTTGTGAAGAGAGGCTGTCGCTCGCTGCCCAGCTTTGTTGTGGTTGCCCTGGGCGCAGCGGCCGCTCGGCTGTAACGAGGGCTAAAGGCCGAGTTAATTACACCGGGCGGATTTCGCTGGGTGGGGACGATGGGACTGGCTCCTAACGAACTTTTCCCAAAGGAAAAGGAGGCGAGTGGGGTTAGAAAGGTAAACAGCCGGCAAGGTTTTGGTAGAAAACTAGTTCTGGCCGGGATCCCGCTCAATCCCTGGCCAGAGTTCCAGCTGGCTTTACCTCTGCGCCGCTGCTTCCCGGAGGCTGCGCGTCAATCAGGCAGAGCGGAGAGCTGGGGGCGGAGCTTTGGTCACCCGGCGCGCGTAGCCGGGCTCACCCTGCCGCCACCCGGCAGCAGGCTGAGCGACCCAGCCAGGCAATGGGAGCGCGCCTTCTCCCCAACTTCTCACCCTCACCCAGGGTTCCCTGCCTGAGGCCAAGAGAACCTCAAACAGACTAAGGGTCTGCTGTTCAATCGCGGCCTCCCTTCCCAACTCTGAACCTATTCTGTAAAGTAGAAAGCAGCGCCTCCTGCTCGGGTGGCTTTGACTGGACTTTCTCGTGGGGGCGTTAGGGGGGGTGGGTGGGAGTGGTTAGGAAGAGTAAAGTGGTGTGTGTGTGTGTGTGTGTGTGTGTGTGTGTGAGAGAGAGAGAGAGAGAGAGAGAGAGAGAGAGAGAGAGAGAGAGAGAGAGAGAGAAACGGGGGGTGGGGGGCAGAGCTCTTTTTTGGCCACCTTTGCATCTTGGTTTCTTCATAGCGTCTGAGCATTTCAAACTAGCCAAGGCCACTGCCCGCCTAGACTCCTTGCAGAGTCTGGGGAAATTTGGCCTCGTTTTCCTAGGGCTGGGGAATGAGCTCCGGAGGTCAATAAAGCCCTCCAAAAATGATGAATGATTGAGCACCTGTGATGATGATAGTGATTACCAGAGCAATTAAACAGTTTGATTAAATGAGCCATCATAACAATGATGTCTGCGGGAAATCGGCCCTCACATATAAAGACAGTGTGGAGGGGCTGGCAGAGGCGCAGAGAGCGCCTGGAGAGGGGATGCGGCCCGCGCGTGGGTTTGGCTCCAGTAGCCAAAGCAGGGACGGCGGCTCTGGGAGCTTCTGGGAGCAGTCTAGCCTAGGGTTTTTCCGTCTCTCTTTCTGCCTGGCTTTAAGCCTAAGACAACCGACCCATCTGGAACCTGAAGGACCACAGGGACCTTTCCCCCTCCCCCTCCTCTTTCTCTTCCCCCTTCCCCTTTTCTTTCCTCCCTAGAAGAACTCCAAGATTACAAATATCCACTTCATTTGATGCGAGTTACTCGTCGACACATAAGAAAAGGTGAGTAAAAAGAAAAGGAAAAGTTGTCTCCATAATTTTATTTCAAGAAGGGGGCCGCTGTTAAACCTCAGTTTAGCCGCCTAAGAGGAGAGAGACAGAAAGACGTAGAGAGAGGACAGAGAGGAAGGACATAGAGGTAGACACAGACAGACGGACAGGCAGGCAGGCAGGCAGACAGGCAGGCAGGCAGAGACAGACACAGAGAGAATGTGAAAGCATATCTGGCCTGGCTGCAGGCTCTTCTCTGCCTTGCAGGGTTGTGGATGGTACTGGGTCCAAGTTGTCTGTCCAGCGCGGCTGGCAGAATTTACACTCAGTTTTGACTCTTCTAATTGTGCTTGATTTCAGGGTATTTATTATCGCAAGAAGGCTTGTTCCTATTTTAAAAGTCCTGGTTAAGTTAAGGCCAGTTAGAAAGTTTCTTTTTCAAAGGAACTCTAGTTTCCGAGATAAATGCTTCTTTTCCCAAGAACAACTTCGTTAGAAACATCTGCATTTTAGTCTAAGCATGCTTAGCGATTTTTTGACACCGCTACTCACCGCCTATCCCATTGATTTAGCAGTACCCTTTATTTAGTAAAATTTCACTAGCATTAAAAATAGCAGTAATAAGGTTTCTCCCTGAGTTAAAAAAAAAATCCAGGCAAATGAATTGTTTCCATAGTTTAAAACACTAAGGAAATAATTAGCTGGTGGTGATCTGAGGTTTCCCAAAAGAAGAAAAGTGTAAACTCTGTTTTGTACGGTGGGCAGTGCAGAAGGGATTTTAACTTGAACCTCTTTCTTCCTCCCTTTCAATATGTAACTTCTTATGCATTTTGTGGAATGCATTCAAACAAACAAGAGGGCAATCTAGTTAAATGCAGGAGGCAGAAAGGCGGGATATTTTAAGATATTTTCAAAGGAGAAAGATAATTTTTAACGTGGAAGACTTTTAGTTAAAAAGTGTGGGATGGTTGAAAATAGCACACCACTGAAGAACATCTGTATGGTTTTGAAATTCACTTCATCTAAAAGGAGACCTGTTACCTGGTGACTAACATAGGATTTGTTACTCAGATGCTTTGCTGCTGGTGACATTGTTAGCTTAAATGTCAGTTTTAAAATCCACCATTGCAGTCGATACACAAGTTAGAGTTGGTTCAGGGTATCCCTCTTGATTACTGTGATGACTTCGAAGGATTGTGATTATCAACAACTTGTGGATGTTTTATTAATACAGCTGCAAAGGGTTCTTCTAGGTAAGGTTTGCCTCTGTTTTCCATCCTTGATTTCCCTGTCTGGTAGGAGCCATTCCACAGAAGCGAGGTGTCCACACTTTCTCTTTTCCATCTGTGTGGATGCCTTGTTTTCAGAGTTGGGCACTCCACACCCTGGTTGTGGATTAATTTACTCTCCCACATTTGAGGTGAAGGGAAATAGGTGGGGCAGCCCCAGAGACAAACAAGATATGGGGGTCACAGGCGCCATGCACACCTCAGTCAACAGTCAGCTCCTCCTGCCAGGCTGGAAATGGTTTTAACAGGCGGTAAAATTTCATCTTGCGGTGTCAAATTGGGGTCATTTTGGGGTTAGAGTTCTCAGTGTCCGTGAGGAGCTGTCCAGCTGTGTGGGGACTCATTAACTGCAAAGATCTGTTTCAGTAAAAACAATTCAAAGACAGTCAGAAGGCTAAAGACTCTCTACAAATCGCATTTTACAAGTGCCCCCAGAACAAATATGGTTGGTAAAACCTATTTCTTCACAATCCCAAATCAGCTACTTAGCTCTGGAGTGGGGGGTGGGAACATTGAATTAAAAAGGAGGTAAGGGGGGGGGGTTGAAGGGGGTGAATGAGAAGGAGAATTGGGCCTCTCAAATTTAAGAGTCTGTTTTTAATCACCCCTTTCTTATTGAAGCATCCCCCCTAGACTTCTGAAAAGCCCTCCTTTCTATTTTTCCTTTTCTTCTTTTGATCCCTTGTGGAATGTTACTATAGGTAACATTAAGGATTTAAAAGAATATTGTAAGCCCCCTAGTTCTGTAGTTCAACGGCACTGGCTTTCAGGAGGGGAGTTAATTTGAAGTAGCGTTTATAAACTGGAACTTTATTTTAGCTGAACTTGTTCAGGCTTCTTGAGGTAGTATTTGTGGCTGTCCTTTTTATATGCCCCCTCCCCAATTTCCAGATTCTCCGAATAGATAACTCTGAATTCATCAGAACCCTGAGGTCCTGAAGTGTTAATCTGTGTATTAAAATCACCAGATTTAAATCCCTTTTGTCTTCTTTACAACAGTTAGAACAATTGATGCTTTACCACAAGAGCAAGTAAATCCAGACTTAATCTTGTTTGTAACTTTAGTTAATGTTTTGATTTGGAATATTTTGTATTAAGGAGACTTTTATGTAAGAAAAAAAAACTGATTATGTTTGATTTGGAGAGTTTCTGTTCCTCACTTTGAAGAAAGATGACTTACTCCTTGTACTTAGGAGGGTTTTCACTGGGTCAAGGGAGAGTTCAGGGTTAAAACGTGAAATGCCAGGTTTTTTCTTTTTTGTTTTGTTTTGTTTTGTTGTTTTTTTTTTTGACAAAACAAAGTTGAAATTTAAAAGTAAAGTATCATTATGAAGGATATTTATTTTCTTGGATTACTGAACCTAGCAAGCAAAAAAAAAAAAAAAAAAAAAAAAAATCTCAAGACACACCATCCATTTGCTCTTTTTTCATACTCCATGTCTGTTCCCAGGTTTTCTATATCCATCACACTACTTTCCTTTGGATTCTAAAGGAGGGTGAGTTTTTGAAGTCCTTCTCCTTTCTCTGGGCTTCCCAGGGTGTTTGTAAATTGTGCTTCAAGGGTTCTGTTGGCCCTGCAGAAACAGCCCTGAGCCTAGTGTTATTGGGACAAAGGCATAGGGCTCTCTTTTGCCCTGTCCTGCTGGCTGACACTTGAAATTTTTAATATATATTTTACTTTGTATTTGCAATAACGTGTTTGTTCCACCACTCCACCCCCTGGAGCCATTTATTACTTTTAAAACATCTCTTCTCCTTAAACCTCTGCTCATCCTTGTGAACTGTTTTTGACCTTCCCAGCAGTATAACCGAAAAGTTGCACTAGAAAGAATTCTTCTCGTTTCCTTACCTGTTACCTTGGTTTCTGTTCTTTTAGATACAGAGGGACTCTGTCCCTACCACCACCTTATTGGTTTTTGCTTTTGTTTTGTGTTATTTATTTATTAATTTATTGCTGTTTTTACCCCTTAGTGTTCTATTATGGACTTTTCTCCCTGGAATAATACTATTAAAGCAACCTACATTAAAAAAAATAGGATGGAGTAGAATTGCTGCATTTTGCTTTTTCCTTGTCTCATTTCTTCCAATTTTAGCTGTTTCCCTGTGTCGCGGGAAGAACGAGTTTCAATAAATAGCCCTCTAGCGCTATCTGGCGGGGCTCCAAACGCGCGGAGCACTATGGCGCTGTCAGTTTCTCCTACCCGCTCCCTTCTTTCCTCTTCTTTTATCTCTTGTCTCTTCTGTTCTCTGTACCCTATTTCCATTTCCTTCTTTGCCCCTTCTGTTCCCTTTCTAGTCTTTATTACAGTTTCCAGTGCAGACAGCGGACCCGGCACTGGCCAGCACCTTACCCTTTGCAACTAGATGGCAGTCCGGCCACCCAGATCTTGCAGGCTTTCCAGTCCTGATCCAACGTGGCTCACGCCCATCTTCTCCCTCTAATGAGCACCTTATCGGTGTTAAACGTGTTGACAAGTCCCACGGTCTTCGCGGGCGGTGTTTTGAAGGCGCTTAAAACTACAATTGGGAAGTTTGCTGGAAAGAAACAAGACACGTATTCCCCGCTAGCACAGCCCAGCTAAGTTTGAGGTCTGAAGGCTGAGTGCCCTGTGTGAGTGGAAGGAAGCTTCTCTGGGACGGGACAGAACGGCAGGGGACCAAATCTTTGCCAGACGAATGTGGCTTCGGTGGAACGAGTGCGATCAGAACGGCAGGATCTAGCTTTCCAAGGGACCGCCTCAGTCTGCAGTTTGCGCCCAAGGCGCCTGCCCATTTTCTCTTCCTCAGTTAACCAGAGTTATTCCCAGCATCCCCACCAAACACATTCACAATCTGGAGAGAAGCGTCAAAGTGGGAGTAGGAAAGACCCCCCCCCCAGAAAACCCACAGAGTAGAGCCAGACAACACACCGCCACCGAGGAAGCCAGTGGTGATAAAAACGGAGTCGCACGCATCTTTCGGTAACCTATTAACACTCCGCGGTGTGAGAAGAGGTTAGAGGAGACCGAGACCAAGGTACCCGGTCAAACCTGCCAGGTGCCTCTCATCACAGGGCTACTATAATCACTCGTATTATTTATTTCTCTTCTGTCTCCCCCTTCCTCCCTCTCCCCTGCCTCCTTTCTTTCTGTTTCCCTCATCCTCCCTCTCACCCTTTCCCCCCTCCCTTCCCCTACACTCAGCCGGAGAAACCTCCAATTTTTGCTTTAAGCAAATGTCTTCCACTTACTCCTCTAATCGCCTGGACATACGAGGCCGGAGGCGAGTTATGAATGTATTTCCTAAGAGTCAGCTATTGCTTTGAAGTAGAAATGAGGCCACATCCCCTAACATACTTAGAAGATAGCCACTACAGGTGTTAGAAACTTTGCCTCTGAGTGTTCTGAACCAAAGAGTCTCAAATCTGAGCCCCTCTCTATAAAATGGCAAAATAGAATGGACAGACGAGAGCGGGGAGGATGAAGAATTTCTTCCACTCCCCACTGCTGAGAGAGGCAGGCGTAGTTTGGGTGTAATTAATTGAGGATTCTTATTAGGTCATCACTAGTCAATGTGCAAATAATTGCTGCCCATTTTTACTTAAAATTGACCAGCCTGAGTGTGATAGATCGATTCAGAGGATAAAAATGATGTATCAAAACATCAATGTCGATTATTTGAAATATTGTAGTCGAATTTTTTTATTGCTTCATCGGTTAAGTGTCTGAAAGTGCAGTGTTCAAACATATATTTATGTTGTCAATACTGTCAGAACTGTCAGTTTTACTATACCGGATTTGTACTACATTTCAAATTTGCTCATTTGCATAAAATGCCCACCCTAGGATTCCCCCCACTCCCACCCTATCTCTGGAAAATCCCTGTCAGTTTCTTTAAAGGATTCTGCAATCTTTGCCTAAGCTAAAGTGGGTACTGCTTCTTTTACTCAAATTTCCAGGACCGATTACATGTCTTTTTCACCATTTCTAACTTTGGAAGAGGCACTTCCTCCTTTTTGCCCAACTATGTCTAGCATAACCTTTTCTCCAAGACAGTATTGGAGCAACTACATTCTAGCTACAAAATACAGCACTTGGGTAGGAAAAAAAGATAAAACAGATTCTACCCGACCTTCTTGGCCACCCTCAGGTAAACCCAGACGCCACCAAGCTGGGGGCATCAGGGCCCACCATCAAATTACCTGAAAGATTGAAGTCTTCCGAGAGAAATGAATGTAGGTGTAAAAATACCTTTTCTTTCTCTTTCTTTACTTAAAAGCTGTGATGGTAGGAGAGGAAATAACACACATAAGTGATCTTCACGTTTTACCTTTAAAAGCTTTTGAACTCCATCGAAAGACACAGGTTGCAAGCAGAACTGACAGTTTTAATTCTACCCATTTTCCCGTAGCACCTCAGATCAGAGGCACTCATTTATTTTATGGGGTGGGGCATTAGAAAAGCAGATAGGGTGAATTCGATTATCTCCATCTTAAAAATCCCAGGGAAATTAAACTCTTGTATTGAAACGCAAACATTCCATTGCTCTGTACAATTAGTCTAGACTAATTGAAATTTATAAATTCACATTCTGCCTAATCTTATGCTTTTCATCCCCTCACCCCCTCTCTCCCCAGGATTCCAGCGAAGAAGTCTGGTAGGTAAGGATGTGATGTTGTTTTAGTAAGCCTAAAGCACTTTCATTATCCTTTTAATGTATTTAAATAGGTCTGTTTGGACATTCAAAGAAGCTACACATACAAAGATGGGTTTGGCTCGGTGCCGTCAATCCCAGCACTAAAAAAAGTAAAACAATCTGAGTGTCCTTATACTCGTTCTTGCCTCGAACAAATAAATAAGTAAGTAAATAAAGTGCAAGGCAAAAGAAAGTTTGCTGCTTGCATCTGTAGGTCGTTGTGCGCGCGTGTATAAACATTTTGGAGTCAGTGTTTGTGTGTTACCTCCCCGGTTCCCCAGGCAAGGTCGTGGGGAGATCACCCCCAGAGAGCCGTGTTTACTGTTTTATTTATTTATTTTTATTTATTTATTTATTTTAATCTCTGGGCTATGTATGACAAGCATTACTTGAACAAATTCATTGGCCTTCCCCAGATACTTCCAGGTTTGCCGTAATGATCTGCAGAAGAGAACTGCCACCACTTTCTCACACCCCAAGGTGATGGCGGAACTCGGAGCTAGGGGAGAGTGAATGCAATGCTTAATTGCGGAGGGGAGGGCGGGGTGCCTCCCGGGATCCGGGGCGGGGGTTGGGGAGGTAAGATACAATCCAGGAAAGATCTTTCTGGACGCCACTTGGAGAATATTTGGACAAGGTATGATTGTCTTGTACTCCCCTCCCCATCCCAATGCCTTTGGGGAGAAGTGATACCCTTGTGTAACAATTAGCTCAAACAATAAAAATAATTGGAAAATCAGTTGGAATTTCTGAGTTTTTAATTACGTTTAATTTTGCACTAAGCCGTAAAATTACGAATGCCCCTCAATTAAACACTTTCCTCTTGCAAAGCATTTAACAACAATTATTCCTTAATCAGACTGAATGTGAGTCACAAATGGTGCTTTTCCACATCAAAAGGACGTCCTTCCATGTTACCTTTTAGTCATAAGAGGATTAATTCCTGTAATTAGAGGGATAAATATGTGCATAAATATCTCTCTCACTCTCTTCTGTAAAACAACAAACAACAACAACAAAACACTTTCACTGTGTGCGAGACTTAGTGGGCTAGGGAAAGGGAAGTGTTGCTGGTGTGTTGAGTGGTTGGGTTTGGCCAGACGTCCCTTTACGTGCTCTGGCCATGGGAATCCCCCGCTGAGGGCGCGCATCTCGGAACTGGGAGAACACGCTCACTCACACTCAGGGATGCGCGTGTCAGTCCGCAGGTCCAAAGCTGGGGCCTCGAGGACCCGAGCCAGCTGAATTCTTTCAGATTGCAGTCCACATCCCACTTTGGCCGCGCAACAGGACTTAATTCTGGTCGGTGCCCGGGTCCCCTGGAGTGGAAGTCCCTGCCCTAAGCCGGAGCTCCAGTTTGACTTTTCAGGCTGCAAATAAAAATTGAGCATGACCTTTTAAAATTCCAGTGTGAATATCTCATTTACCTAATGACTTTATGTCACCTATGGAGAAGGTCAATTTCCTCTTAACCTTTCTCCCGCTGCTGCAGTAAGCATTCCTCCCTAATCAATGGTGGCTCGTATGATCAATTCCCATTTTATGATCGCTGACAAAGTCAGGCTCGGAGCGGGGGTTGAGACCGAGCTGCAGGCTCGGGCCAGGACAGGGTCTTCGGGTACGCCCAACTCCGCCCGGCGCCTCGGGGGGTTGCTCTCTCTCCACCGAGTTCAGAGGCGTAGGCAAACTTCCCTCCCCCCACCCGCCGGCGAGACTTCTGAGTTGTCACTAATCCGAACCTGAAATTCACCAGAGCCCCTTCAGTTACCGACAACGCTCCCTGCTGCTGGGCCTCCCACTAGCCCCTCCTCCAAATGCCTTCATTTCTAAGTCTAGTAGCAGGATTGCCCGACCCTAAGGAGAGAGAATGTGTTACTTTTATTTTTCGAAATTAAAATTATTTCTTACATCTTCACAGTGGACCTCTCAGCTCCTCTGGGTTAACTTCATGTAAACAAAGCAACAATAAAAGTCTAAGGGCCTAGGAATCTCTCTCTCTCTCTCTCTCTCTCTCTCTCTCTCTCTCTCTCTCTGTCACACACACACACACACACACACACACACACACACACACACACACACACTGTATACCCACTATACCAGTTTACCCTAAAGGGTATGTATTATACATTACTTATTGGGTCCTATTTAAGTTACCCTAGCTTTCCTCCAGTCTGGCGAAACAGGAGGCAAATTACTTAATGAAAATAAGTTTGCAACTCATCTTTGTGTGTTTAAGGTGATCCCTTCCCTCTTCCAGGCTGTCCTATACCAGTTGACTTTAACACATGTAGGCCTTTCTGAAATAGAGATTTCTTAACATCTACTCTCCACAGAAACCTGGAAATTCACCTTATTCCACCCCAAAGCCACTTTCATGGACTTCCAAGACCTGCAGAAGCTGGTGACTACTATCAAATGATCTGTAGAGCCTTGCCTGGCTAGGATTCAATCACAGGAAATTCACTGTTCTATGAAAAAGATGTCCTGTGGGTTTGGGCGATTCCCTTTGAGGAGCCACTTTCTCAGTTCCCTACTGACCAGCTAGTTAAAACAGAAAGAAACTTTAACTCCTTAGATTTCTGTTTGCCCTGCTCTGCCAATGGAGGCAGTCTTTGAAAAGGAATATAAATTACCCTGTATACATCTTATTACTTGTGGGCAGAGTTGTTGCAAAAATTTGAAAGTCTTTGAGGTAATCAAATGTAAATGTAACTCTGCCACTGTTTATCCACCAATGGGACCTAAGGACAAACAGAAGATAGGGTGAGTGGTCAAGGTGACACATTAGTCATCCTAGCCTTGCTCCTCAGCAGTGTGGCACTCTTGCTTCAGACCCATGATATTGAGTGGTAGGGACTCAGAGGTCCAGGAACTGACCTGGGCATAGTGCTTAGTCCCCAGTCTTACTGCTTGTTATGATCCCTACCAGGAAATATGTTTTCAGGTCTTAATGAGCTGGATTCTGGATGCAACTGGCCACAAGGGTTAGCAAAGCCCTATCTGCACTATGTAGCACTTTGTTTTTTTAGAAAATTTGTCTCCTATTTCCAGGCTTCACTGAATTACAACCTGTCTGTGGGTTAGGAAGTGCTTGTACTGGAAGTTTCCCATGACTAAGAGAACTCAGTGGAACTTTTATCTCCATTTGTCAGAGGAGCAGACAGGTAGGGGATAGGCCTCTTGACCTCAAACTATTACCAAGTCTTTCCTCTGCAGCAAATTTAATTTTCACATGAGGAGTAATTAACAACTTCTGATTACTCATTCTGAGAATTTCCTTTTCTTAAGAGTTTTCATGGAGATACTGAAGAATATGCTTGATGGTCATTTCTGGTTTCGTTGCATTTAAATATCTTGCATTCTTCCCATTTCTTCCCCAGTCTCCTTGAACATATTTAGTACAGTCTTGAGATACATTCTAATCCAATATGCCAACTGCATATCCATCTCCACCCTAATAGAGAGCAAAGCTATGAGGTAACTCCCTTTGCCATAGGATACATTCCAAGATGTCTGGTGGATGCAATGCTCTGAAGCCATGGAAAGTACTGAATGCTGTTTGGTATGCTTTTTTCTGTACACACTTACCTATGATAAAGTTGGATCTGTAAATTAAGCACTACAAGAGACTAGCAATCATAATAAAAGAGAGCAATTATAAAAATATGCTGTAGCCAAAAAGTCTTAAAATTTATGAATTGCTTAGTTCCTGACTTTCCCATTTAATGTCTTGGGACTATGGTTGAACATGAGTAATCCAAATGACAGAAAGCAAACCCTCAAATAACTAAATTAGACTACAGAAAGTCCTCCAAATAAAGAGCACCTTTGAAGAAAGTTTGCTTTGTTTTATTAATAGTAAAACTGTAGCCCCCCTTTTGACCCTACAATAGTCCTATTTGGGATTATATGTTAAAGTATGTGTCAAAAGACACGACACAGCCCTGCGACAGGAAGAATGTTCACACAAACCACTGGGTATTCAAAGGTACAAGAGGAAAACCTTGTGCCCCTTTATGGAAAGACATCTTGTTCACACATCTCCAAGGGTGAAAGAGTCTCATCACTTCTGAGGTTTTCTATTTTGTTTTTGTTGTTGTTGTTGCTTTGAATCTCAGAAGAACAAAAAGGGAACTCCAGGGATTGAGGAGACTCAGAATGTGACCTGAAGATAGGTCCTGGGTCTGTCCGAAACTGACTATATACTCTTCAGGCACCCAAGCTCTTTTCTTTAAATTGAGGTGTAATACTTGTCCACCTTTATGGGATTCAGTACCATGATTTAATATGTATCTATAACATGTGACGGTCAAACAGGACAAAAATCACTTCCAGGTCATCAAATATTAATAATTTTTGTATGTTAAAGCTTTCATGCTCTTCTAGCTGTTTTGAAATGTGTCACAGATTGTTGCAACCATGGTTACCCTGCTGTGCTATAGACAGCTAGAATGAATTCCATCTATCTAACTATTCTTTGGTTTCCTTTAATTTCTTTTTGTCACTTCTTTCTCTGTTCTTCCTACTTTCTAGAGATTATTATTTTACTACATTCTTTGATGAGATAAGCTTTTTGTTTCCACATCATGTATTTATTAGTCTGTATCTGGCGTATTTCACTTAACATAATGACTTCCATTTCTATATATGTTGTTACAAATAACAAAATTGCATTTTTTCTATTGGTAGAATAATGTTCACACACACATGCATGGATGCACGCACGCACGCACACACACACACACACACACACACACACACACACACACACAGCACTTCATTGTGTCTCATACTTTCTTCACCCATCAATCTATCAATGTTCATCTTGGTTGGTTTGATAGACCATTAATGTTTTCACTCTCCAAATGGCCTGGATAGCATCTTACAGCACTATGAAAGCCAGCCAAAGTAAAAAAGTGTTTTGGTCATTTTAAAACTGATTTTGTTATACCCTGCAACCAAAATAATAGTGGTCTTCAGCAATACAGTTTAGTTCTGATGGGTAATATTCTACTTTGTTTTGGAGACTTCTGTGATTTCCCTGACCAATAACTCATAGGGAGGTATACCATGCCTAACACTGAGACTCACATTTGATAACTCATGTTTTCTGGGAGCAACTTTGTCCACCAAGAACATTTGTTATTGTTTTGTCCTTTTGATGACAGCCATTCTTACCTGAATGTTGTATCTCACTATAATTTTACTTACATTTCTTTGAAGATTAGTGATTATTTAGCATTTTTTCTTATGTTTGGCCATGTAATATG